GTGAGTGTACACACACATTTAAAAGGGAAGAACCTGCAGAAGAGATATTAATGTCAGCAGTAAAAATCACTAACACAGGAAAGTAGTGGCAACAAAGAGAAGAGAAAGCCAGTGTAATTCCAACACATGGATGCTAACTTTGTGGCTTGTGCTTATTTTAGAGTAAAATAAGCTTCTAGATTAAAATACACTTCTAAGAGAAATAAGAGAAAATTACTACTTAATGAACAAAGAAAATATGACTATTAGCCAAAACAACTTCAAGTATTTTCCCTTCATGTACAAGATTATCATTATTACATTTAAAAAAAAATGAATTTCATAAAGACTCATAAAGAGACAGCAGCCAAGTATTTAAAATGCTTGACTTAGAAACCTGATAGAAACATGGCTACCCAAATCTAATTTATGATACTTAAAGCAATAGCCATACACAAACTAGAGAGGTTTGTAAGATGACATATAGCTGGACTCCATGAGCTGCACTTGTACCAGCTGTGCGGTTTTATAACTCACACACCGAAGTATATGCTGGAAGAATGCATACATTAAACTACATCCATACAGAAACGATTTTGGAAGAGAGAACATATGAGTGAAAGAGCTTCAGTCCTACCAGGAAGCCAGTCAAGACCACCATCACAGCATTATTTCTGACAAAACAGTCCTCACCTTATGTAACCAGAATTTGTATAATTTGTACCAGAATTTGTGTCATTCTGATTTGTAATACCTTACAAATCTCTTTGATTTTAGCCTGAAGTCACAGAAGTATTATTAGCAATACTTCTAACAGCACAATTTTATAATAAAAAAGGAAATGGAAAACCAAAAAAATCCAACCATATTCACAAAGCTGGAAGAACGACAGAAGAAATACCAGCACTATGACAATAAGAGGAAGTGTTAGATTTAAGTATTGTGAAATAAATCTGGAAAAGTAAAAGAAACCATAATTAAGACCAAAGCAAAAAGAGAGACAAGACAGCCAGCACTGTTACAACAGATTGCTCAAATAAGCATTAGAAATAAAGAAAAGGGGAGAAACCCAAAATGAAGTCTTAAAAACTTCAAAGAAATGACAGTGGCAGAAAAAAAAATAAAATTGAGCTAATGCTTATCAGTAAGACATACAATATGATGAACTAAGTGTCACAAAAATGAAGTAAGATATTTCTGGAAGGGTAGAGTTTCTCTTAATGTTTTCTAAATTGTATTTTGTATACAATTGTATATTTACACATATTTTTTAAAATCTAAGGTCTGCATTAAACATTCAGTCTGACAGGTGAGTTATCTGGAGCAAGTCTCAAATTTTTATCAAACTCACTATTTTAGGAAGAATCCCTTCTTTCTTGTTTACTGTGTCACCACAGACAAGTTCTGATTCTGGAAGAAATTCTACTGGTGAGAAGTATCCACTGGTCTGCACGCCTTTTGTGAGCTGTGCTCCTTTTTTAGTATTTTGGTTGTTGGCTGTAGAAAATACAAACTAATTAAATCATGTTTTCACATGCAAATATCCCACTATATACCTATCTCTCATTTTTAATGATTTGCAGCAAACATGAAAGGCTGTATTGGAGCCAATGGAAGCGGAAAGTATTGACAAGTTTCATGTAGCTGTTTTCAGCACCTTTAAAGGCTAATTAAAAAAAAACGCATGCAAAACTTCTACTGAAAAAAATAAAACCAACACCTTAAAGCTACTTGTAAAGACATTACAGTAGAGTGAATATTTGTTAAAACATCCCCCCAAAATATCTCACTAATGTTACTGCTTGTCACAGAAGCTACATGTAGAGAAGCAAACTCATAAAACTAAAATTCACTTATTTGCATTTTTGAAACACATACACTTATCTCTGTGGAATGACATTTTAAAAATCTGAACCTAAAATGGAGTAACAGTAGAGTATCTGTAATAAAATGAGCAGCAGACAAACTATTTGAAATGCTGGCATTAAATATTTAAAACAGTCCCGTAAACTCCTGCTTCTTCTGATTCTAACAATCCAGTGAGAATAATCTAAGTACACACACAGACACACATATATACACACATATTTATGTGGGTAGCATAAGGCTTAAGGCTGCCTTGTCACACCAGAAGAAATCACTGCACTGATACTTTTAGGAGATTATGTTCTGGGACATATGCAACTCTTTGAGGGGAAAAAAAAAAACAACAACCCAAAAAACCCGAGACAGACAGTAAATTCAAATTATTAAAAAAAATTTTAAAAATCACCAAAATATTCACAGCAGTGAAGTTATGTGTTTTTAAAGCCTCTGTAATTTATTGTCATGTAGACATTATCTATTATCTATTAGAGAATTTAGTAAAAAACTTCCCCTCCTCCTTCATCCAGGAACACCTGGTATGAAAGGAGTTAAGAACCCTGTTTGATGAAGTTTTGGGGTTTGGTTCTGCTGTAGTTACAGAAGAGTCAAACAACGTGCCCTTCTTTGCAACCAGTGCTGTGTTGAAAACAGTGCAAAAAACCTAAACATTCTAGTGGTACTAGACAGTACAGTGCAAAAAACTAAACTAAACGTGGTAGAGTCAAACGTTGAATGGCATGAATGATATAACCTAGCAGAGTAATTCAGAAGTGTTGCTATTAATTTTTCTGCCTTTATTGCTTTATGTGAGTTACCTCTTTTTCTTTGTATAATATCCATGTCTTTTCTTGGTGATAGCTTCAACATACGATTGGCATATATATTTTTTGCTTCGAGTTCTCTTTCTTTTTCCTGTGAACGATAACGATGAGTTACTAACATTTCATTTACTAGTCATTAGCAAAGCTGTAAGTTAAATTAAAAATATACATTGTAGATAGAAACAAAGAAAAGTAATCAATAGTTACATCCAATGTTTTAAGGAGAACAATCACATTCCTAACTTTGCTTATGCTATAAGAAAGCAGATAGAACTTTCCCCCCCCCAAAACTCATTAGGAAAATATTCGGGGGTGGGAGGATGGGGAGGCATCTCTGCAGTGAAAATTAAAACTAAATGTCAATGCTTCCACAAACTTGAATAAGACTTACAACGTACATATAGACTGCACAACTGAATTTTCAGTACTGTGAAGAGTTAAAAATTTCAATGCTAGCAATGTTATTTGTCACAGGGCATGGTAGTACCACAGACCAGAGGCCCACTGCATCACAGAGGTAGAGACACATTCTTCTTTCATGACATTTATTGAATAAAATACAGAAATGAGTAGTGAGTTATCGGAAATTATCTGATAATGAAAATATTTTCAAAATATTAAACTATCTGCTAACAAATCAGGCTTAAAACAGCCTAAACAAGCTTTTGAGTTACTAATGCCACTGGTACTTGCTTGATAGCTAGTAAGGTGGTAAACTGGTGCACCTCTGTTATAAAACTATGTTTGAGACTTGGGGTTTCAAGGAAATTCTCCTAGAAACTAAGTACTGCAGCCCAAGTCTTATTTACTTTATTTTTTTCTAAAGATAAACTGACCAGGTAGATCATAATGATATTTTCAGCCCTTAAATTTAGAATCTGGGCAACAACAGGGTGGAGGGATGCAGATAAGCCTTTGCACAAATTTAGCAACACACGTGGATATCACAAATACATTAAATTAATCTTTTCACAGACCTACTGTAATGAAAGTACATTAGTAACATAAAGTACTGTATATACCTGCAGATTTAATTTTTAAAATCAACCTTTAAAACCTAATTTTCCAGTAGATCTTGTGGTTTAATAGCACTGCTTGGCTATGTACTTGATCTTGCTTTTCTTAACTAGTGCTAACAGTAATGATTAACATAGAGACATTCCTGTTATAAACACTGTAGGGTCAGAGCAAAGAACATTTCAATTTAAAGCAAGAAAAGAACTCACATGTGGTATATAATTAAGTACACATCAGAGAGTGCAGTCACGGGTAAACTATTCAAACCTGATTACAGATACTTCCAAAGATAAAATGCCAGAACATGGTTAGCAACTTGTATTGCTTCACATTTTACCTTCAGCTTCTGATTTAGCTGATGAAGCTCCTCTTGGAGAGCTCTGTTTTCTTCTTGAGCCTCATACATCTTTTTTTTCTTTGAATGTAACTCTCGTTGAAAACTGCTACCACTTAATTCAAGATTTTTTTCCAGATCCTTCAATTAAAACAAAATAATATTTTTTTAATAACCAAACTACTTTTTTTTTTTTTTTTAAAGTCAAATTACTTAAGTAAAATTACAGTAAACCAGCATCTTGGATTCAGATATTGGCTCCACCATTGCTGTAACACTGAATACATTTAAACTCTTAATCTTAACTTTGAGGGGGCAGACAGAGCACCTGCAGATGCTGCAGCTCATCCTTCTGGAGTATTGAGAGGTGATTTGAGGACACAAGGGAAACACTACTTTCTGCAAGGCTCTTGGCACAGTGGACCTCCAGATCTCTTAAAACGAATCTCAAACGGGTGGTTAAGAAACAGAATACCTCCCTGAAAGTGCAGGATTAGAAGATGACGACAAGAAATAATTTTTAACCTTTCTACGAGAAATAAATTTGTGATGGTGATTTAATTTACATACCCTCACGTTGCAATAGCTGTTTTAAGTGGACCTCTGATCATGAGAAAAGGAAAAAATAGAAGAAAATCCCTTACTTTTTAGAGCATGATTCATTTTAACATTATCCAGTTACTACAAATGCCGATCATAAAACTACAGATGCCAGATGGTGACACTACAGGTTGAGGTGATTTGGGTAACTCAGCAGTTTATATCTTGGTATTTTGGGATTTATTTTATGAAAGCTTAATTTCCAGCTTAATCCTTTGGATTTCCAGACCTATTACCTCTGTAATGTAATTTAGGTTTAATTACTAATATGGACACCAAACTTTAACACCATTTGAACGACCAACATCATTTCACCTAAAAATAGTATTGCATACAACTACCAAGGGTTTAATAGTGTTAACACAATTATTTTTAAATAAGATGAGTTTTTAGACATGTTTACAACGTAGACATGTTTAGACACGTTTACAAAAATGTAAACATTTTTGCTGAACAAAATTAAAATATATTGCACAAAGTTCTTAAAATGAATACCCATAAAATGTTCTAAAGCTCATTTTGGCATTAAAAAAATTGCGGTAATTTTGTCCAGCTCATCTTAATGCAGGAAACAAAATTGAAGAAGAATTACTATATATATGGGTTTTAGAATTTTAGTATACAGTTCCCTAAATACTGAGAAATTTTTTAACAAATGCTTCTCCTCCAAGAGGATAAATTAGACTGCATAAAGTTGTACTATAGCTGCATGCATTTCTGAAACGTTGTTACTAGTTATAAAAACATTTAAAAGCACAAGTCCACAGTATATATTCTGACAAAATATACTTAATTTGTAAACAGAAATTTGAATGCACAACTACCAGGTATGTAACTATACAATCACCTTGGAAATAATTTACTTGATGCTACTTATATGATTAAAAAAAATTATTTTCTATTTGCTCCACAACTGTGAAAAAGTACAATTCATGAAAGTCATTATGGTAAGGAATATTGGTACCAGAATTTCTTATGAAAAGAAAGTCATCTCACCTTAATTCTTTTTTCACTGTCCTCTAGCCTGCTCTCTGCATAGGCTAGTTTCTTTGCCAGGTCATCTCTTTCGGCAAGGTGCTTATCTGCAGACAGCTTTTTCAGTTTCTGCAAGACAGTTTTTGTTCTGTACAGTTCATCTTCGGAATCTTTCAGCCGCCTCTCAGTTGCACGTTCTCTCTCTTGAGATTTTCGTAGGCGCTCCCTTAATATTCTAATCTCATTGTTGTGCCGAGCAAGGAGCTGAGAGATTTCGTTTTCCGTATCTTCAAACTTATTCAAGGCTTTCTCCTGCCTGTGCTGAAGCCTCTTCAGTGCCCTGTTTTCCTTCTGCAGCTCATCTAGTTTGATGTGGAGTTCAGTCAGTTCATTTCGGAGCTCATTGATTTTCAGCAGCCTAGCAGAAAGAACTCTTTTTGTAACAAGATCTATATCTTTTGCAGGAGAATCCCTAGTGAGGCTCTGAGAACGGAAACCCCACTGCGTCCCTCTTTTGCTTGGTGCATATTTGGAACCCAATTTCTTTGTGGCTAAGAAAGGAAAAATAAAAAGCATGTTTACTATAAGACAATGCAATTTGTCTATTCAGACATCTTTCTTGGAATATAGCTTTGCCTGAAACAATTTTACAATGCTTAGCACAGATTGCAGCTTTCAAACCAGACAATAAAAGGCATATATATGAGAGACTTACACTCCTTTTGACAGATTAAAAAAAATGGAGATTTATGTTTGGTGATCTACTGTAAGAGGTAATATCTGCAGCCATCAATATAAGACCACTGTAAAGTAATCATCTGCAAATCATATCAGAATAAGTAATATTTTGTTAATATTTGACGTTTATTAAAATGTTTTAGAAATACTGTACTCTTATGCATACAATACTATCAAATCCTTTTAAAACGGCAACAATTAGCTGAGCGTTAGCTAGTTATGTATTATGTAAGATGTAATTCTCTGACAAATGCAGTAGTATTTTCAAATCCAGCTGCCATGCTTACAGACAAAACAGCAGATTTCAAAGGCTCAATGCAAAAAGACTCCAAAGCAAAATTATAAATCCCATGAAAATTCAGCTCTCCCCTGAATAATTTATTCTTGTATCACAAGTTATTTTCCACACAGTATCCTCATTTGATTATTAGTATGCATCACTCGCATTCCTATTTGATATTATTATTTTATTATCATCCCCACAGATAAAAGCTAAACATTTTGTTTCTATCTTATTTGCCTCTCAAGCCACACTCAAAGAATGAAGCATACAATCCCCCCAAAATATCTCTTAAAACAACTGCATATAGAGAGGGTGCATAATTCATTAAGGTACATCAGTGTTCAGAAGCAACATACTGAGCAGCAGCTTATAATTCAGGCTTGAAAGCTGGGATACAGCAATAGCACCATTACCTATACACAGACAGTGAGCATGTGACAGCAAATTCTTCCTCTCCTTTGGCGCACACCATGTTTCTATTCTACAGAGAGTATTTTACAGCAAAAATAACAGCTTTAAAATATTTCCTTATAATTTCCTCTAAACATTTTGAACAAATACTCATTCATTTTCTGCTTGATGTTCATTTTTTCCACACCTTGGGCAAACAAAGGAAGGGGTTTTTTTCCTTTACAAAGAACACTTATGTCACATTCAGGTGTGAAAAGATTATCTAATACATGCACTGCAGGAATGATGCCATTCCTATCACCAACTAAGGGAATTCCCATTAACCCTAGAATTCCAGCCCCTTCAAGAATTTCTCCCCATTTAGGGCAGAACAGAAAATTCCACTACCAAGTTTGCACTTTTGACCACACAGTTAAATTGGGGAATAATGTCTTTCAAGAACAATACGACATTCACAATACCTTCATGTAATAATTATGTTCAATTCTGGCCATGTAATCAAAGAACTAGTCATTCATTTGTCCCCTCCAAATTAAATAGCACCGTGGAACTGCAGTTTTTGTTTCCCAGAAAGCTAACCCATAACTGCTATGGAGAAGATGCCACTTCTGAACACCAGGAAGCTCGGCAAAACACCAGTTGCACCAGCACACCAACACTGTCAAGCAAGTGAAGAGATACGTTCCTTGAGCCACTTCAATATTTACAGTTACATCTTCTGGCACACTCTAGATAATAATGTTGAGCAAATGATCCACACAGTATCAAGCACTTACGAATGAAATAGAGCACTTGCTTGAGAAAGGCAGGATATGCTCTGACTTCGCCAGAAAATGTGTGCAATTATTTAGAACAAACTGTCAGAGTGTGGCAGAGAGGCTTCACATCCCTACTTTAGCCCAGGACCTGTATAACCATTGTCTCACTTTTCGTAGGGATGCTCACTTCCCCACAGTCTCATCCAAGAAAGCAGCTTATGTAGGTGAGGTGCATGTGAGGGAGTTCAAAGTGGAGCTATTTCATCTCAAATTGGAGATATTTTACCCTCAAGGAGGGACCAGGAAAAGCTTTCTTTTGAATTTCCACATGCACTTAACTTTCACCAAACGCATTTTTCTCTTTCTTGCCACATTAGCGGTCTTGCATTTTGTTTGTTTTTTGAAAGTACCCAGCGTTACACTGTAAAGCTTAGTCAGCTAGACTTCCACAAGAGAGTGGTATTTTGTCTGAGAAATTTTAACAGTTGCCTCTCTTTTACTGACTGCACAGTAAGGACTTGCCTTGAGTCCTCAGCCTTGACTCTTTTTGTCAAATCAAAGACAAAGACAGATCAATGTCAAAGACAAAAAGAGAGCATCAGCATGATTCCACAAAAGGTTAGTATAAGAACCACATTCACTTGTTAAGAAAAAAATGAATAATTCTTAAAATCACCAAAAATCCTCCTTAGGCAGGAACAGATTAATTTCAGTTTTCAACGGAGCAGCTACAGTCTACCTGCTATCTATAGCATAATTCACATGAACCTTATTTGTAGATTCTCATAGTAGTAGCTTCCCACTTTTATTTCAGCATTCAAAGATAATTAACTCTTTAAAGGAGTTACAAAGCGGCAATTTCTGCCATCTACCTACCTTGGTAGTGCACAAGGCTGTTTGAAGTTTGTGTTTTGTGATCTCTTTTTTCTTGGCTTGTAGATGGATAGCTTAGTGTTGGAGACTGGCCAGATGAATGAGATGCATTATCTTCATCTGAATAATAGGAGTCACTATTTTTATCCCCATCTGATTTCCTGTCGTGTTCAGAATCTGGGCTCCTTACTCTTTCTCCCATTTTTCAGATTTAACTGCTTCCCAGATTTTTCTCAAAGACTGTTCATTTTGACACAAAGAACCTTTCAGTTGTCACAATGGCAGCAGCTGGATTATTTCCTTGGATTTATCATCTTCATCTCCAAAGCATGAAATCTTTGCAGTTCAGTTCAGCAAGCAGTAGTTATCATTCAGAATGCACTTTTTTCCTGTAATAATTTAGAGAGAGGAAAAAAGTGAGAACAGTGTGCTGGTTTTGGCTGGAGAGAGTTAAATTTTCTTCACAGAAGCTAGTATAAGGCTGTTTAGGATTTGTGCTGGACACAGTGTTGATAACACAGGGATGTTTTCGTTATTGCTGAGCAGTGCTGACACAGAGCTTCTCATAGCACCCCACCAGCGAGGAGGTGGGGGGGTGCAGAAGAAGCTGGGAGGGGACACAGCCAGGACAGCTGACCCCAACTGACCCAAGGGATATTCCACAACATATGATGTCATGCTCAGCATATAAGAGCTGGGGAAAGACGAAGGAAGGGGGGGGACGTTTGGAGTGATGGCGTTTGTCTTCCCAGGTAACCATCATGCATGATGGGAGCCCTGCTTTCCTGGAGAGGGCTGAACACCTGCCTGCCCTTGGGAAGTAGTGAATGAATTCCTTCTTTTGTTTTGCTTGCATGTGCAGCTTTTGCCTTCCCTATTAAACTGTCTTTATCTCAACCCATGAGTTTTGTCACTTTTACTCTTCTGATTCTCTCCCCCATAGCACTGTGGGAGGAGTGAGCGAGTGGCTGAGTGGTGCTTAGCTGCTGGTTAGGGTTAAACCACAGCAAATGGTTTTGCTGTTTAGTTAAGAAAGAAAGGTAAAAAGACCTGTACAATTATTCAGGATTCCTAGAACCTTATGTCACGTGCTGTGCTACATTAGCCTTATTATTTATATTAAATGTGACAGACATCACCCTAGAAATGCTACTAGTATTACACTCAGTAGTTTGAGGCACTTCATCCCCAAAAGAGAAATCAGAAAATTAACTCAGTTAAATCTAGAATAAGAATTACTCCCAGGCTAGAGAGAGGGGAAAAGAAGCATTTGGAAAATAAAACAGAGGACAAGTGAAAGCTTGACACTATTCAGGAAAATAATTTAAACATATTTTAAAACTTTTTAACCAAATAAATGAGCAACTTATCCATGTGACTAGAATTGAGATATTTGTAGAATTTGAGTATATCTTCCATATCTCAATTTCTGACACTCCAATGATGTTTAATAATGGGCTGGAAAATCAGTTGTCCCATTTGTCTGGAGGACATTCTGTCCGTAACCACTAATGAGACTGTACCTATGTACCACAGTCTTAACCCTGGAAAGTACTCTCATACCCTACATCACGCCTTCCAGAACTGCCAGGAGCATGCACATTTGTGTCATGTGCTTTATAGGAAAATGCAAATATAGCCTTCTGGGTTTCTTATATCTGATAAGAGAGACCACACTGCTGATGGATGGTAAACATTGTATTTGCAGCAGGTTTAAAACAAGAAGGGCTGCTCCTGCAGCCTGTCTTCTGATGTAAACTGAAAAATCCCCTAATCTCAATGTAAAATCATCTTATTCTGCACTTTTGGAGACACTTCCTGAGAATATAACAGAGCAAATACATCCAAAATCTTCCTACCTTCTCAGTCAAAAGAATTTTCTCATCAGTTTAGGAAGCATTTTACTGACTACACTCGCCCTCCCATGTCTTTTGTTTCTTTCACCACTCTTCACAGCTTTCAAGCTTATTTCACCATCTATCTCCTTTCAATCCAACTGCAGGACATCAAGCCTCTAATGGGTAAATAAATAGGACTTGCGTCAGAGCCCATCAGTTCTGCCCATTCAATGACATAAACTCCTAGCCCATTTCTAAATGGTACAGCAAACCACACACGAAAAATTGAGCAGCTTTCAATCAAAACTCTTCCACACTGCAGGGCATACAACATACCTGTAAATGAGCTGTAAATTTTTCACTATATTATTTCCCAATAAATTAAACTTAGCATGCTTCTTGGCCTTCTATTCCACTGTTTACACATGCAGAATTGCATAGCCAAAGACAACCGAAATACCAGCTGCCAAGACAGGTTTCATTACAAATTCAAGCTTTCTGGCCAAGTTCACTGTTAGCACAAGTCTGCCTCCAGTGACTGGAATCCATTTGCCCTCATAATCTATGCAGGAGGAATTAGAGGAATAAATATCCCAACAGATTTCTAAACTGGGAAGCTGCTGGGAAATTAATACTGAATTATTTGGAAGAGTGTTTTTCTTTACTTAGGGAGTAACTTTCCAAAATAACGTTTTTTAAGTACTGAAGTAATTTCAAAGTGGTCCAAATAAATTACACGCCTAAAACTTAGGCCAGAGTCAACTCTGATGAAAACTAAAATTGCACTGCAAATCCCAGAAAGAAGACAAGCTATACTTGAGAGCATTTGTCCTAGAGGTTGCTAAACACACGTTGGAAGGTATCAGTTATTGCGAACATTCAAATGATCAGTAATGACTGTTCTTTTTTGTCCTGAAATAATGCAGTTATTAAAGATATTTCAAAAGTATATACCTAACCATAACTGTATTATCTTGTTTGTCTTTAAGTGTAATGAAGACCCACAGATACGTTCATGAGCGCAAAACTAAAGATCATGTACGAACATTAGAACGTATCAGGGTGCATCCCTACTCCCAAAGAGCTGCACTCCCAAGTCCTGGACTCACAAACATCTGTGCAGAATGTACATTATTTTGCTCCTTGAAGAGCAAACCAAACCCAAACTGAAACACAGGCAGAATTTTTGGGACAATCTCTTTTCTAGAGGGTACACAGACAAGACTGCATCAGTTCTGTCTCCACAGGACAGAATATCAGGGAATGCAAAAAATATAAAATAAAATAGAAACTAATACACTAATATTAAAATACTAAAATAATATAAAATAGAAAAATAGTACTCTGGAAGGCTGTAACACAACCTCTTATTATTACAGTCATTCTGACTGAAAACATTAAAAACAGTAGTTGCGTTTGTAACTCACTAAAGCGTGGTGTTGTCATTGAAGCCAAAGGCTTCATTTCCCACAAACAACACAGGCCACAAAACTTGCCAGACTTTGAACTCATCTTGGGTGCCTGGGGCTTTGCTATAGCTTATTTAGCTGCAATAAAATTAGTTAACTACCAAGGAACATCTAATTTTGTTTAGCTTTTTGCTTAGCTTTGTACAGTTGTCTAGCACCTACTGTTACATTTATGTTTATAAATAACAGACAGCAATAACAAGTAGTTATGAGCGAACTGTCTACAACCCTTGCAAAATGCAGCAGAGGACTACAGGCACGGGGTGACTGCAGGCGCCTGAAAGCACACAAACAGAGGACAATACTGGGGCCCTAAGCTATAACAGCTCACTTGTGCTTAATTACTGGTCATCAATGGGATGCAGTCTTGGGAGCTGGGTAGAAGTAGTTTTATAGGCAACATCTAGAACAAAGAACAAATATTCAACATATGTAAAACACACCACACGTAGCAAATCCAGACGTAATGTGGAATCATGAATCAATGTATAGCATAGCATAGCACAGAACAGAACAAATCCTCTTAAGGTACATGTTGAACTTCCCCATCCTTCCACATTACCCACCAAGTGCATCCAGGTCCTTGCACAAAACCAGTCCCACGGACGGGTTTGCCTTTGCCCCAGGTAGGAGTGACCCAGACTGTCTTCCCCAGCATATTTTTTACATGCACTATAGGGACTTTATCCCCCTTCTACAGTATGTAAGAGTTTTGACTGGGCAGGGCAGATTCCCTAGTGGTGACTAACCAGATGGCTTTTGTTAAATGTGTATCCCAGGGTTTGAATGTCCCAGCACCCATTGCCCTCAGTGTAGTCTTTAACAGGCCACTGTATCATTTGATTTTCCCAGAGGCTGGTGCATCACAGGGGATGCGATACATCCGCTCATTGTCATGCTCTTTGGCTCAGGTGTCTGTGAGATTTGTTCAAAAATTAGTCCTGTTGTCTGACTCCATTCTTTCTGGGGTGCCACGCTTTTCAAGGCCCAGGATAGCATTCTGAGCAGTGGCATGGGGGCACAGGGTATGTTTCCAGCCATCCAGTCATTGCTTCCACCTTGGTGAGCACATGGTGCTTGCCTTGGTGGGTTTGTAGGCATGTGATGTTATCAATCTGCCAGGCCTCCCCATATTTATATGTCAGCCATCATACTCCCTACCAAAGAGGCTTGGCTTGCTTGACTGCAGTGGATGTTTCACATTCACAGATAACCTGTGCAATAGTGCCCGTGGTCAAGTCCACCCCTCGGTCACAAGCCCATCTGTGTGTTGCATCTCTTCCTTGATGGCCTGAAGTGTCATGGGCTCACCAAGCTATAAATAATTCACCCTTGTGTTATCAGTCCAGATCCACCTTAGCCACTTCAGTCTTAGCAGCCTGATTCACCTGCTGCTTGTTTTGATGTTCTTCAATGGCCCCACTCTTGGGTGGGCAAAGATAACACCAGAGAAAGGGTTTGGTACTAGAGTTTGTGCCTATTTAAATGTTACTGTCTATAACTTGAACTGTGTAAGTATCTGGACTAATACTAAGTCTTTGATTAGACTGTTAAGATTTTAATTTGACTAACAATCAATTGTTGGCTTTGCATCCATGTTCCCTGTTTTGCTCATAACAAATTGAATAAAACAAACTGCTGGGAATTCTAGCAATCTAGTCTGTTACTTGGGTGCAAGTCTGTCCCACGGCTACAGGGGCACGTGTGGCATTTAGAGGAGTCCTGGTCGCCTGGAGTGGGTGCATCAGCGTTAGAGGCACCACCACATCAACAGGCATTAACCCAGCCCTGCACAGAGGCAGGGATTACTCTATGGGGCAAATATCTTCAACACTGTAGATATAGCCAAGACACACTCAAATTTCGTCTGCCTTCAGGACACAGAACAACAGAAAGAAGTCATCACGCACAGACTTTTTCTTGAGAAGAAAACGAATATGAATGAAAACAAATGGGACTGTTTTAGGGAAAACATAAATGCCTACATTTCAATCATCAAGATGTCCAATTATATATATAAAAAACAAGAACACTCACTTTCACTTACTGTCTTAAAACTCATCAGTTATTTTATAGTCCCACAAGTGTTCACTGAAGAGGCAATAATCTTTTTGAAGAATGCTTTTCATAATTCAGTGTATTTAAAACAGACACATTGTGCGAACTGGAGGATTAGAATTATCTATCAGTTCTGTATTGGATATTCCTCACTTCTGAGAATATTTTGCTAAGTATCGTTTTGACATACAGCAACATAAATGAACAGCAATTTTTGATGCATTCTGGAAGTAGAAAAGCAATGGACTGAAAACAAATCGAAAAAGGTGAACCAATAAAAGCTCCCTTGAGGAACCGCCAAAAACATTTTCTGAATCTTGAAGTGGTTTTCAGTTTTATAGATTGGTAATATTATAGTATTTTCCATACAAAACAAGAAACCTTAGTCTGTCAAGTCCTGCCAAATTCAGTTTTCCACCAGTCTGTAACGTAATTTGATTAACATAAAGAATGTACAGTTTATCTTGAGAACGAATGAATCACTAGGATGTTTGAGTTTTACTTCAGTCAGCCTAAGGACTGTCTAATTAAAAAATGCTTTGGTTCATGGACTTTTCAATTTCCCCAACTAGCTTGAGTTGATTATAAAATAAGTTCAACTCATGTAAGATCCACAAAGATACCCATTTTCCTCTGGTACATTTAATAAGTTGTGAGGAATGAAACATTGTGGGTTAGCAGTGGGTCTACTGAGCTCCATCCATGTTTTTAGAAGCCTCATGCATCAAGATCAGATCAGTATAGAATGTCTGAAGTAAATCTGGGACTTGCACAAACTTCAGAAACAGTTCTATTTCCAGAATTTCATACTCCTTCACTTCAGCAACTTTTGCTATTGTTGTTATTTACATATTTTGTATTGAGAACATGCTCATTATTACAAAAAACAGTCAAGCTCCAGGTCACTGCGAAGGACGAGACAGACAAAACAGAGAACACAAAGCAACTGCAATGGTGACAGAATACTGTCTCCCTATCACTCCCCTAAGTAACTCACAGAAACAGAAACTGAACTACTGCATTATGAGTATTAAGCAATAAAGGAAAAATACTCAGTATTCTCTCACAGTACACCCACAGCTTAGTTCTGTAATGTAAGACTCATAAAACTTTTAAAGTCCTTTTCAATCTTATCTTAATACCCTTCTAAGACCAGAAGCAGCTAGGTGCTTTTACTGGTCACCACATGACACTTCCTGAGTACAAATGCTGACCTCTAACGGTCCACTCAGTTTTTCCACCTATTCTGAGAAAGGGACAGCATAAACAAGAGCCAGCTTCAGACAAGTACAAAAGCAGCAATCCAGGTTATTAAAGTGCTGAACTTAAGAGCAAAGAATGACCTCAAAAAACCACCTCACTCCTCTTCCTCCACCCATCTTTTTTCACATCTAAATACTTTAGTTTTTCCAGAAAAGAGAGGAACAAAAGTGTTAGCTTGTACCACATCAAAACATACGCATTAATGAAGCATTCCTGAGGAACAAATATTTTATTAGGGATGCTTTCTGCAGCTGCTAACTTAACTGTATGCATTTCTTCCAAGTTTACCAGCTTTTTGGGAATTAAAATGTTATATGGTTTTAAAAGCCAATGTTAAATTTATCTGACTCTGTGCCAGTAATACTTAGTGTTACTTTTCATTAGCAGATCTCAAAATAAAAGTAAGTCCCAGGTCAGAGATAAGGAAACGGTAGTCCAAGTAGGTAATACACAGGCCAGTCCTACAACCAGCAAAAGAGATTATCTTTCTAAATCCTCTAGAAAGGCGGCCAATGCCGTTGTTCACATTTGCACCTATTCCTCTGGTGTGCGTAGACTTACCTCGTTCAACTTAGCCATTCCTGAAAGCCAGCTCTCCAGTTCCCAAAGCGTAAGCAAAGCAATTTTCCTTCCATCAAAAGAAGTTCTTAAAGAATACATCAAATATTATTTTTAATTAACACTTTTAAAAACAACTAACGACTACACGTGAGAGTACACTTCAAGTGCCGTACAATAAATGACTTCTGAGGAAAGGGACTGAACGTTCGCGGCCTC